TCTCTCTCTCTCTCTCTCTCTCTCTCTCTCTCTCTCTCTCAGGAACAAGACGGGTATATTAGGCTGGAGGAGCGAAAAGACCGAGATGGTGAACGGGTACGAAGCCAAGGTGAGACCTCTGACACTGAGGACTAGAAGCTTGACAAGTGGATGGGAAGAGGGGTAGGAAGGGGCAGAAACGTACCGTGTGTCCCTCGCTCGACAGGTTTACGGGGCTTCCAACGTGGAACTCATCACCCGGACGCGGACCGAACACCTTTCCGAGCAGCACAAAGGAAAAACTAAAGGTGAGGATCGCTTTGCTTTCGGCCAAAAATTCAGATTATTTTTCCTTGCTGAATTGTGCTGCTCCTCCTATTTGTAACACGGGTGTTCTTATTGCGGCCTCCTTAAAATGTTTCGCGGGTCAAGTCCTTGCCTTACGACCGCAAGGGAGCCCGAAATTTCCCATCGCTAAACCAGACATTTGTTAAGCGGGTTTCGACCCATTTTACGACCTCTCACCACCGTCGCGAAGCGAGTCACTGCTGTTAAATGAGTAACACAGTTGTAAAGTGAACCTGGCTTTCCCCCTCGACTTTACTTGTTGAGAGGTCGCGCAAAAGGGGGAGATCACGTGACACACACACACACACACCCCGGGATGCGCCAACTGTCATAAATACGAGTCGGTTGCCAAGTGTCCGAATTTTGATCCTGGGGATGCTGCGACGGTTGTGTGAAAAATGGCCAAAGATCCCTTTTTTTTTTTTACTGCTGTTGTAACTTCGATTGGCCGCTGAACAAACCGCCGTAAGTCGAGGATTCTCTGTCATTCATTTTGCTTTTTTATATTCTTTCGTCTCACCCCGTTTCCCTGGAGTGTTTGGACATGGATCTCATTAGAAATAATTCTAATTAAAAAAAAACAAACCCGTAACCCATCGACTTTGTGCTCTGCCCCAGATGTGGCATAACTTTATATTATATTTCATCTCCTGTGTTGGTCCTGTTCATTAGGATTAGAATAACAGAGTTGGAAGGGACCTTGGAGGTCTTCTAGTCCAACCCCCTGCTCAGGCAGGAAACCCTATACCAGAGGTAGGCAACCTAGGCTGTTTTATGATTCGTGGACTTCAACTCCCAGAATTCCTGAGCCAGCCATGCTGAGGGGAAAGGGAGAGGATTCCAAGCTGAGCCATGCTGTCTCAGGAATTCTGGGAGTTGAAGTCCACGAGTCATGAAGGGGTCAAGGTTGCCTACCCCTGGTCTTGGAGGCTCACCGCTTAGAACAGGAGGACTTAGGACAGGGGTAGGCAACCGTGGCTCTTTTATGACATGTGGACTTCAACTCCCAGAATTCCTGAGCCAGCATGGGGGAACTATGGCCCCCTTCATGACTCGTGGACTTCAACTCCCAGAATTCCTGAGCCAGCCATGCTGAGGGAAAAGGGAGAGGTTTCCAAGCTGAGCCACGCTGGCTCAGGAATTCTGGGAGTTGAAGTCCACAAGTCATAAAAGAGCCAAGGTTGCCTACCCCTGCCCTATACCATTTCAGACAAATGGCTGTCCAGTCTCTTCTTAAAAACTTCCAGTGTTGGACCATTCACAACTCCTGGTGGCAGGTTGTTCCACCGGTTAATTGTTCTAACTGTCAGGAAGTTTCTCCTTAGTTCCAGGCTGCTTCTCTCCTTGATGAGTTTCCATCCGTTGCTTCTTGTCCTGCCTTCAGGGGCTTTGGAGAATAGCTTGACTCCCTCTTCTTTGGGGCAGCCCCTGAGATACTGGAAGACTGCTATCCTGTCCCCCCTCGTCCTTCTCTTCGTTAAACTAGACAGACCCAATTCCAGCAACCGTTCCTTATATGTTTTAGCCTCCAGTCCCCTAATCATCCTTGTTGCTCTTCTCTGCACTCTTTCTAGAGTCTCAGTATCTTTTTTACATCGTGGTGACCAAAAACTGGATCTTCCACCCACAAATTCCAAATTACACCCCCTTTTTAACCGCTTTCATCTCTTCCAGGTGGTAAAACCCCATTGCAGTCCTTTCTGGGCATTGCCGAACAACACGTGGGTCCCAACAACGGGGTGAGTAACTGGAAGGACAGCGGGCGCGAGGGTCCCGGCGCACGGGGGAAGCAACTCCCATGTTTTCTCTGACCCTCTGCAGGCTCTCATCACGCAGACGCTGAGCCACGCCAACCCCACGGCCATCACGCCCGAGGAATACTTCAACCCCAGTTTTGAGCTGGGGACCCGGGATATGGGGCGACCCATCGAACTCACCACCAAGACGCAAAAGTGAGAGCCGAGCCAGGGGGCTGTTGGACTGTTTTTGAAGGGTGGGACAAGTGGGGGGGGTAGGGGGAACCTTTCCTCACGTCGTCCTCCCCTTCCTCCCTCAGGTTCAAAGCCAAGTTGTGGCTGTGTGAAGACCACCCTTTGTCCCTGGCCGAGCAAGTGGCCCCCATCATTGACCTCATGGCGGTCAGCAACGCCCTCTTTGCCAAACTCCGGGATTTTATCACGTTGCGCCTGCCGCCTGGCTTTCCGGTCAAGATTGGTGAGGGTCAAATGCCAGGAAAGGGTCAGGCGGAAGAAAAAATTGCCTATATAGAAACAACGTGCTTCTCTCCTGCATCTCTCACAGAGCAGAGAGATTGGAGAGAAAGGGATTTTAAGAGACTCCTGCAATCTCTTTGCTCTTCAACATAGATCAAAAGCAATGAGATTGTGCAAGAATGCAGGGCTGGGTGCAACCGGTTGTGCTTTGTGAAGAGTTTACAGTATTCTCTTGTAGGTGAATTCTGGGAGTTGAAGTCCACTCTTTAAGCATGGCTGGCTGGGGGATTCTGGGAGTGGAAGCCCACCCCTCTTAAAGCAGGCTGGCTGGGGAATTCTGGGAGTGGAAGCCCACCCCTCTTAAAGCATGGCTGGCTGGGGGATTCTGGGAGTGGAAGCCCACCCCTCTTAAAGCATGGCTGGCTGGGGGATTCTGGGAGTGGAAGTCCACCCCTCTTAAAGTATGGCTGGCTGGGGGATTCTGGGACTGGAAGTCCACCCCTCTTGAAGCAGGCTGGCTGGGGAATTCTGGGAGTGGAAGCCCACCCCTCTTAAAGCAGGCTGGCTGGGGGATTCTGGGAGTGGAAGTCCACCCCTCTTAAAGCATGGCTGGCTGGGGAATTCTGGGAGTCGAAGTTCACCCATCTTCAAGAATGCTGGCTGAGGAATTCTGGGAGTTGAAGTCCACTCTTCTTAAAATTGCTGACTTTGAGGAATGCAGTGGGTTAAAAGCTTTGGCGTTTTTTTTCTGAAGATGCTGAACCAGAAGCTACAGATCCATTCATTGTGCAAACCCCATTGTATGTTTGTGTTTCTGTGTGTGGGTGGGTGGGGGAGAGAGAGAGAGCTGTTCTGCTTTACAGCGATGGTGGAAGATGGGAGTTGGAGTGCAAGACACAGACAAGAGGCTGCTGAAGGAGACCACCGGTGTGAGTCTTCCTTCTGCAAAAGTGACCCTCCCTGTCGCCTGGTGCTGAAGGAGGCTGCTGAGACACACCTACACAAACACAAACACACCCCTGCCCTGTGCTCCCTTCCCTCTCGCCTCCAGAAATCCCCATCTTCCACATCCTCAATGCCCGCATCACCTTTGGCAACTTGAATGGCTGCGATGAGCCGGTGGTCTCTCTCCGCAGCACGGGCAGCCCCGGCAGCGATGCCCCCTCGCCCGGCAGTGACCGGTCCAGCATCAGCAGCTCCAGCTCCCTTGGTGAGTGAGGGGGGGCGAGAAGGGAAGGGAAGGGGGACATGGGGTGGGTTGATAGGGTGGGGGGGCCAGGAGGCGCCCCACAAAACCAGGTGGCATAAGCAAGTGGCACAACCCGCCTCCAGAAGCGGTGAATGCTCCAACACTGGAGGTTTTTAAGAAGAGACTGGACAGCCATTTGCCTGGAATGGTATAGGGTTTCCTGCCTGAGCAGGGGGTTGGACTAGATGACCTCCAAGGTCCCTTCCAACTTTATCATTATTATTATTATTATAGTTAGACATAACAATATTGTAATATAGGGGGTTGGACTAGATGACCTCCAAAGTCCCTTCCAACATCATCATCATCATCATCATCATCATCATCATCATCATCATCATCATCATCATCATCATCATCATCATCATCATTATTATTATTATTATTATTATTATTATTATTATTATTATTATTATTATTATTATTATTATTATGTCAAGATGGCATCACAAGCATTTGATTTATTTATTAAACTTGTATGCTGTCCATCTCACTGTCCAAATGACGCCTGCATCCTTCTGACGGTGGCTGGACCCCCTTTCTGCAGGTTCCTGCCGCTGCTTTGAGATGGACCCCTCCCTCTTCGAAGCCCCCCAGGGTTACAGCATCGTCGGGAGACACCCGGAGCCCTTGCGGGAAGATGAGGATGATTTACTGCAGTTCGCCATCCAACAGAGCTTGCTAGAGGCGGGCAGCGAATATGACCAGGTAAGGGACCACCGACCTCGGGAGGTTGGGGGTCTGGGGGGACCAGAAGCTGGGCATCGCTGGGCTGGCCCAAGAAGGAAACTCATCAAGGAGAGAAGCAACCTGGAACTAAGGAGAAACTTCCTGACAGTGAGAACGATTAACCAGTGGAACTCCTTGCCTCCAGAAGCAGTGAATGCTCCAACACTGGAAGTTTTTAAGAAGAGACCGGACAGCCATTTGTCCGAAATGGTATAGGGTTTTCTGCCTGAGCAGGGGGTTGGACTAGATGACCTCTAAGGTCCCTTCCAACTTTATTATTATTATTAACAACCTGCCTCCAGAAGCTGTAAATGCTCCAACACTGGAGGTATTTAAGAAGACCTTGGAGGTCATCTAGTCCAACCTCCTGCTCAGGCAGGAGACCCTATACCATTTCAGACAAATGGCTGTCCAGTCTCTTCTTAAAAACTTCCAGTGATGGATCAGCCACAACTTCTGGAGGCAAGGAGTTCCACTGGTTAAATGTTTAACTGTCAGGAAGTTTCTCCTTAGTTCCAGATTGCTTCTCTCCTTGATGAGTTTCCATCCGTTGCTTCTTGTCCTGCCTTCAGGCGCTTTGGAGAATAGCTTGCAGAGCCAGAACTGAGAATCGCGTGCCCAAATCCCTAAGTTCAACTTTCCGCTCCCTTAACTGTCTCCCATTGCTGACTCCCCCCTCCCCCAATGACCAGTCAGGTTCAAGCCAGATGTTTCCAGAACTTCAAGAAAGGCAACTGCTTTCTTCTCCCAGCCGGGTGACCTTGAAGCAGCATCTCAGGCAGATACAGTAGTTTCGCTTTCCCCAAGGATCTCCGCTCCTTTCCACCCTCCCTAGAGTCTACGGCAGGCTGCCATTGCGGGATAGGAAAACACGCAAGCCAGCATAAAGCGGCAGCTGAACTGGGATTGAAGCCCATCCCATCAGTGCATGCATTGCAGCTGCAAAGCGGGCTTCCACCGTAGTCAACACGTTCGCCATCTTGACTTTTTTGACCCTCTCTGCCCTGCCCGCCCAGACGTTGGGGTGCCTTATTCAGATTTATTTATTTAGAAAATGTATGTAGCTGCCTACTCACTCGCAGCAACTCCAGGCGACTTACAAACAATAAAAAAAAACAATGGGAGGTGTCTTCCGAGAACAGTCGTGTCACCTGGTCAGTTTCACTCACCAATATCCTTCATTCAGCTCCACGGATTGACAGCCTCCCCCGCAAACCTGGTTTAGTTCCTGTCCCTGCCAGTGACACAGATCCAGAAGCCAGGGATGGAAAAGACTGTGAATCTGGGTTGGAAGACTACTCTAGGTATCTGATCTGAGCTGGATCCGGTCTGGGTCCAGCACTAAGACGCTCTCATGGGCAAGCTTAAACCGAAGTTTTAAGCCCTTCCATGCTTTTAACCATGGTTGCTTCTCATCCACTCTTCCCTACATGGGGTTCTTCCAGGGGGGTTAAGAGATGACCCAGGTGTCATGACGTCATTTTCCCAGTGACATCATTCTGACCTCATTGTGGCTTCTGCCAAATGGGTCCTTGGCCCTTTAAGGTGGGAATTGCCAACACAGAACTTGTGGGTATCGTGACCACTTCCATGGTGGCTGCTAAAAAAATTAAATCCTTATTTTGTACTAAAAACGCATCTGGTTTCCATAAGGTCTCCTAAATTTTTGTAGGGTTTTTAGTGTGTCGTGTTTTAATTGATGACTTTAATGGAGCGTTTCTCATTTCTCAAACTTGGTCTGCCATATGCTAAATAAATAGATAAATCAACCTTGGTCACTTTAAGACATGTGGGCTTCAACTCCCAGAATTCCACAATCAGTATTTTTTTAAGACTTATGGACTTCAATTCCCAGAATTCCCCAATCAGTATTTTTTTTTAAGACTTATGGACTTCAACTTCCAGAATTCCACAATCATGCTTTAAGCTGGTTGGACTTCAACTCCCAGAATTCCACAATCAGTATTTTTTTTTAAGACTTACGGACTTCAATTCCCAGAATTCCACAATCATGCTTTAAGCTGGTTGGACTTCAACTCCCAGAATTCCACAATCATGCTTTAAGCTGGCTGGGGAATTCTGGGAGTTGAAGTCCCCCCGCCATCTTAAAATTGCCAAAAGTGGAGAAACACTGCTTTTCTGGGGTCCATATTATTACACGGCGATGGCCAGTTTGTTTAATCGTGGCTTGATTGTGGCTTAGGCCAGTAAACCAGAATTGAGGCAGGATCGCGGGAGGTGAAGTCCCAAGAAAGTAAACCGTAGGCTGGCACCACATTTATTTATTTATTGAATTTATATTGAATTTATATTGAATCTGAATCAGGTCTCTCAAGTATCCAAGGGACGGTGTTCTCTCTCTTTCCCACAGGTGACCATTTGGGAAGCTTTGACCAACAGCAAGCCAGGCACTCTGCCGGTGTCCCAAGAAGGACGTCGAGTCTGCAGGTGAGTTTCTCTGCGGGCGTCACTTCCGCTTCCGGATTGGTCCATTTTACTTCCTCCTTCCGAACACCTGTCAACACCTGTCCTCTGTTTGCCCTCCCCAGGACACCCCAGCACACGCCGCCCCCGCGGCCCGCCGTCCCCCAGCAGCCACCCCCCACACCAGGCCGGGGTCCCGGGCTGCCCACCTACGCCGAGCAGCTGCGCATGGCCATGGAGCTCTCCGCCAAAGAACAGAAAGAAGCCGAACGGCGTTCGCGCCAGGAGCAGGAAGAACTGGAACGGATCCTGCGCCTGTCCGTCACCGAACAATAAGCCCCCTCCTCACCCAGGGGGTCTTGGGCAGGGGCACGCACACACACAGCTCCGGCCAGCCCCTGGGGGCCACCAGCCAGCACTAACAGACTGTGCCTTCCCCAGTTCTGGCTCTGCTCATGCACAAACCTGGGCACCACCAGGACGGAGCGGGTCGGGGCGTGGGGGGCACAGCCGGGACGGGGCGGGGGGCTGGCAGGGGGTCCCGACACGTTTCCCCTCTCACAGCTGAGCCATTTAATTTGCCCCTCTGGTGGGGGGGTTAATCAGTTAGACATCGGCCACTGTCCGTCCGGCTTTCCTCGCTGTTGCCCATTGTGGCCAAGAGGGGAGGGGTCTCCCTTCCCCTCTTCCTTTTTCCGGGTTGGGGGCTGCGAGGCTCTGAGTTCTATCCATTTGGGCAGCATCACAGCCAAGTCTCCTCTTTCAGGGTGCAAAACCCCCAGAGGGCCACCGGAGGGCGCAAGCACACACACACACACACACACTCATCTGGGCTGCCCTCTAGTGGCCAGCTTGATTTTGGCAAGCCTAATTCGGGACCCCCCAATTCTTAACCCGGGTGCAATCGGAGAACGGCGGGAAGCTCATGAGGAGCTGTTTTGGGGGTGGGTGGGAGCAAATTTGGAGCCTTAACACCTAATTGCCGAAAGGGGGTTGGACTAGAAGACCTCCGAGGTCCCTTTCAATCAACTGGTGGTTCTCGACTTGACAACAGTTCGTTTAGTGACCGTTTGACATTACGACAGCGCTGAAAAAAGTGACTTACAGCTGGGGTTTTGTTTTTTTTCACACTTAGGACCGTCGCAGGATCCCCACTTTTTGCCGGCTTTCGGCAAAAAATGACCTAACGTGCGGTCACGTGACTGTGGGAAGCCGCAAAGGGCCGTAATTGTGTCCGATTGCCAAGGGTCATGTGATCACTTGGGGGGGGTTTCAGCCTTGTGAACTTCGGAACTGCGTCGTAAGTTGAGGAATTCCTGTACAGGTAGTTTGAAATTACGACGGTGCTGGAAAAAAGTAACTTACGGCCTGTCCTCACACTTACGACCACTGCAGTGTCCCCTGGCCACGTGATCCAGGTTTAGGCACTTGCCAACCGGCCTGTACAGGTAGTCCTCAACTTAGGACCACAGTCGAGACCAACATTTCCGTGGTTAAACAAGACAGTTATTGAGTTTTGCCCCATTTTACGTCCTTGACATTGTCGTTAAGTGAATCACGGCAATTGTTAAGGTGGGAGCACGGTCGTTAAGTGAATCCGGCTTTCCCCCCCCATGGACTTTGCTTGTCGGAAGGTTGCAAAAAGGGATCGCCTGACTTCGGGACGCTGAAACCGTCATCAATACCGGTCAGTTGCCAAGTGTCTGACTTTTGATCACGTGACCAGGGGGACGCTGCAACAGTTGTGTGAAAAGCAGCCCTAAGTCATTTTTTTCAGTCCCGCCGTAACTCCAAACGGTCACTAAATGAACGGCTGTACGCCGAGGACCGCCTGAATTGAATTCAGGAAATGCAAAGTGCAAAAAGGAAAAAGGAGATTATAGTTAGTTAATCCTGGTTTAATTTAGCACAGAGCCCGGAGGGTGAATCTAGAAGCCTTGTTAATTTGGGGAGGAGCACGTTAAAAAAGTGGGTGGGACTTGGTGCCCTCTTGGCCGCCATCTTGACTTTTTTGACCCACCCCGATTCAGACGTGCCCAGAAGTCTTTGCCGAGCCCAAAAACAGAGAGTGGCGAAAAGCCACCCCAAGATGCTTGGGGAGCCCCTCGGCAGCGTGTCCCCCCCCCTCTCCGCACACCCCAATTTTGCACCAGTTGCACCAAGTGCACTTAACCCCGCCCCCTGCCTGCCAATCAGGTCTCCACCCGCCTTCGGGGGCTTCCAGGTTCCTTTCGTGGCTGTGCCCCCCCTCCCAACTGCCCCCCAATAGGCGCAGGGGCATTTATGGGGTACACAGGCTGGCATTGGGGAGGGGCGACTTTGGTGCAAGAGCAGGCGGGCCACGGCCTCTCCGGAGTCAGCAGTGGGGGGGCACAGCATGGGGGGGCAACCCTGCACCCCCTTTTCTGCCATCGCCCCCTCCAAAGCCTGGTGTCTTGGATGCTTCCCTTGCAGGGGTCCTGATGGGGGCCCAGGATGTGGTCTCTCTTCCCATTTGGGGCCCCCTCCCCAATTGCAGGTGCCCCCTGCAAGGTCGTTACTACCCTGTTGTTCCATGGTGCTAACCTCTTGGGGGTGGGATGGAGACCCCTCTGCCAGGGTAGGGGTGAGGATGGCGGGGGCGGGCGAGGAACAGCCTGTAGCCCCCCCTCTCTCTTCCATTCCTCCCCGGGGGAGCCAGTGGGGGCCCTGTGTTTTGGGTGGTGGGAGGGCCAGAGGGGCTAAGGTGAAGCTGCTACAGCCATTACAAAAAGGGGGAGGGGGCCTCCGGGTACCCCAGACATCCGGGCGAAGGCGATGGAGACAGGCTTCCTGTGGGCCAGGTGTGTTTACCTGCACAGAAACACCAATAAAATACCTTAAGAACCCTCGCTTGTTTCTGCCTGTTTTTGGGGTGGGGGTGGGAGAGTCAGCAGGCTGCACCTGGGATGGGGAGGGGACCTCCCACTTCTTCCGGTATAGAGGTAGAAACCCACCCCCCAAACCCCCAATTGTCTGAAATGGTATAGCGTCCAGCACGGGGCTGGACTAGAAGACCTCCAAGGTCCCTTCCAGCTTCTATTCTATTCTGTTCTGTTCTGTTCTATTCTATTCTTCATTCCTTCTATTCTATTCTTTATTCTATTCTATTCTATTTTCTGTTCTATTTTATTCTATCCTGTAATTCTATTCTATTCTATTTTTTCTATATTCTATTCTATTCTATTCTATTCTTCATTCCTTCTATTCTATTCCTATTTTATTCTCTATTCTATTCTATTTTCTATTCTATTCTCTATTCTGTTCTATTCTATTCTATTTTCTATTCTGTTCTATTTTATTCTATCCTGTAATTNTCCTTGATCAGTTTCCATCCGTTGCTTCTTGTCCTGCCTTCAGGCGCTTTGGAGAATAGCTTGACTCCCTCTTCTTTATGGCAACCCCTGAGATACTGGAAGACTGCTATCATGTCCCCCCTCGTGCTTCTCTTCATTAAACTAGACATTCCCAATTCCAGCAACTGTTATTCTTGATTTACGACTGATTGTTTAAGGACAATTCAAAGTTGCAACAGGATGTGTTGTTGCACCAGGGGTGTCTAAGCTTGGAGACCTTTAAGACCCGTGGACTTCAACTTCCTATGCTGGCTGGGGAATTCTGGGAGTTGAAGTCCATAGGTTCAGGATTGGACAACGCTGCGTTAAACGGAATTTTACATCCAGTAAAGCATTTCCATCCACCTTAAAACGTCTCGGTTAATGACCACCTCACTCAACGACCGAGTGTCCAAGCTTGGAGACTTTTAAGACCTGTGGACTTCAATTCCCAGAATTCCCCAGCCAGCTACATGATTCCCCTTTTGCAACCAAAGTCAGGGGGGAAATGAATTCACTTTTAACAACCGGGTGACTAATTTAACCGCAGTGGATTTCACAACTTAACAAGTAGGGCAACAAAGAGCGTAAAATGGGGCAAAAATCATTGAACACCCGGTTGTAAGGTGAGGATTACCTGCATTGCATATTTGATTCGATCCAGTGTAGAGTTTAGAGTCGGGATATTTCCAAGTTTGGCCATTTTAAGAGGGGTGGACTTCCACTCCCAGAATCCCCCAGCCAGCCTGCTTTAAGAGGGGTGGGCTTCCACTCCCAGAATTCCCCAGCCAGCCTGCTTTAAGAGGGGTGGGCTTCCACTCCCAGAATCCCCCAGCCAGCCTGCTTTAAGAGGGGTGGACTTCCACTCCCAGAATCCCCCAGCCAGCCTGCTTTAAGAGGGGTGGACTTCAATTCCCAGAATCCCCCAGCCAGCCATGCTTTAAGAGGGGCGGACTTCCACTCCCAGAATTCCCCAGCCAGCCATGCTTTAAGAGGGGTGGTCTTCCACTCCCAGAATCCCCCAGCCAGCATTGCTGTGCATGGAGGGAGAACGCGGCTGAGATTGCCTGTGGGTTCCCTCGAGGGCATCCAGCTGGGCCCCACGCTTGCTCCGGGTGCCCATTTCCTCCCCCCCCCCGCAAAGAAAACAACTCAGAGCCAAGAAGTCTGATCAGCCATTCGAAATATATATCTATATATATATATTTATCAGCATATGCAAATGAGCAATGGCCCTATTTTCTCTCCCCCCACCCCACCAGGGAGGCGGTCATTTTGTACTACAAGCCGGGGGGGGGCAAAGGGGGGGAAGGCGTTGCTGTAACCGAGCATCCTTGTTCCTCCACCTCCGGCTGCACATCTGGGCCTGGCCCAGCTGCAAAACATCTGTACAACATTCAGCAATTGAGATGGAAAACTCACGACAAGACAGCAGGCAACCCCCTCCTCAATGCCTGCAGATGCCCCCCCTTCGGACCAGTGTTGCTGGGCCACAGGGTTCCCCCCCACCACTTCCAGCAGAGGCTGGAGACTCCTCTTGGCCCCCCATCCCTCCGGTAAAACCAATCCCCCGCCCGCAGGGTCTGGCTGCCCACGGCTCTCTCCCTCCCTCCCTCCCTCTCCACAGACCCAGACCCATTTCTAATCCTTGCAAATCTAAGGGTCCAACTTTTCCTCGGTCGCACGGCAAAACTCCACGACAAACCTGTGGCTCACAGCAACCCCACCCCCTTCGCCCCATTCCTGGGGGGCTGAAGGGTGAGTTGGCATCACAGCAACCCTACCCCGCAACCCCCACCCCACCCCGAGCGTCCAGCAGTCGACGGAAGACCTTTTCTCTGAACCCTGCTTCCACCCCCAAAATCAAGGTAGTCCGGAGTCAGGTTGGAGAGAAAGGGATGAGAGGAGAGCAGGGCCATTTTTTGCAGCGGGGAGCAGCATCCCCTGCGAAATGCCCACTGAGCTGAGAAGAAGCGGATGGATGGGGGAGATGATCGGTCTGTCTCCGGGATGGCAAAGTTCTGGGGGGGCAGGGGGGGGCAGAAGTAGGCTAGTCCGTCACGTCTGCGAGTTCGCAGAGAGTGTTTTCCAGGTCGGTGATGCGCTTCTCGTGATCTTGGATGGTCTGGCGCAGAGTGCGGATTTCTTGCAAGAGGTCCTCGAGGGTGGAGGTCTGGGGGGGGTGAGCAAGAGAGGAGGAGGAGAAGGAGAAGGGGAAGAAGGAGATGAAAAAGGAGAAGAAAAGGGAGAAAATGGAGAAACAGGAGGAAGGAGGCGGAGGAGGAGGAGAAAAAAGAAAAAGGAGGAAGAAGATGAGGCGAATGAAAAGGATAAGCAGAAAAGAAGAAAGAAAGGAGAAGGAGAGGAGAAGAAAGAGGAAAAAGGAGGAGGAAGGGGAGGAGGAAGAGGAGAATGAAAAGAAGGAGAGAAGACAAAAAGAAGAAAAAGCAAAAAAAGGATGGAGGAGGAGGAGGAGGAGAATGAAGGAGAAGGAGAGGTGAAAAAAGAAAGAAGGAGAGAAGAAAGGAAAAACGAAGAGAAGGAGGAAGAGGGGAAGAAGAGAATGAAAAGGAGAAGGAGAAAGAAAGAAAGTAGAAGAGAAGAAAAAGGAAAAAGGAGGAGTAGAAAGAGAGAAGAAAGAAAGGAGAAGGAGAGAAGAAAGGAAAAAAGAAGAGGAAGAGGGGAAGAGAAGAAGAATGAAGAGAAAGAGAGGCAAAGAAAAAGAAAGAAGGAGAATGAGAAGAAAGGGGAAAAAAGAGGAGGAAGAGGACGGGGAGGAGGAAGAGGAGAATGAAAAGAAGGAGAGAAGAAAAAAAGGAGAAGAAAAAGGAAAAAGAGACGGATGAAGGAGGAGGAGAATGAAAAGGAGAAGGAGAGGAGAAAAAAGAAAGGAGAGAAGAATGGGGAAAATGAAGAGAAGGAGGAGAAAGGGGAAGAGGAAGAAGAATGAAAAGGAGAGAAGGAGAAAGAAAGAAAGGAGAAGAGAAGAAAAAGGAAGAAGAGAAGGAGGAAGAAGGAGGAGGAGGAGAAGGAGAGGAGAAGAAAGAAAGGAGAAGGAGAGAAGAAAGAGGAAAAAAGAAGAGAAGAAGGAAGAGGGGAAGAGAAAGGAGAAGGGGAGAAGAAAGAGGAAAAATGAAGAGGAGGAGGAGGAAGGGAAGAAGAGAACGAAAAGGAGAGAAGGAGAAAGAAAGAAAGAAAGAAAGGAGAAGAGAAGAAAAAGGAAGAAGAGAAGGAGGAAGGAGGAGGAGGAGGAGGAGAGGAGAAGAAAGAAAGGAGAAGGAGAGAAGAAAGAGGAAAAAAGAAGAGAAGGAGGAAGAGGGGAAGAGAAAGGAGAAGGAGAGAAGAAAGAAAAAATGAAGAGGAGGAGGAGGAAGGGAAGAAGAGAACGAAAAGGAGAGAAGGAGAAAGAAGGAAAGGAGAAAAGAAAAAGGAGGAAGGAGGAGGAGGAGGAGAGGAGAAGAAAGAAAGGAGAAGAAGAGAAGAAAGGAAAAATGAAGAGGAGAAGGAAGGGAAGGAGGAAGAAGAGAATGAAAAGGAGAGGAGAAAGAAAGAAAGAAAGAAAGAAAGAAAAAGAAAGAAGAACGAGAAGAGGGAAAAAAGAGGAAGAGGAGGAAGAGAAGGAGGTGTGTCAGTTAACGGAGGAGGAAGGGGCTGGGTTGATTCCCACAGACAAGGCCCACGATGTCTCTCTCTCTCTCTAACACACACCCACACCCACACCCACACAACCACACCCAAGAGGCTCAACCACTCACAGAAAAATTGGCGTCGCAGGCGGAGAGGCCCCTGCGGGAGCCGGGCGGGGGCTTGCTGTCCAGGATGTTCTTCTTACTGACTTTGAGCTCGCGGTTCTTGAGGGGGACGTAGCCGTCACGCAAGGAGACCAGGAGGGGCTCCGCGTCTTTCCCGGCCAGCCATTCCTCCGCCTCCAGGGCCGGCTCGGGGCCAGGGGTGTCCGGGTACAAGTCATCCTGGAAGAGGTCCGACTGCCGAGAAAGGGGAGAGGGGAGAGGTCAGCAAGGGGCGGGGGGCGGGACCCTCCCCAGAAACCCCTCGCCCCCCTCCCCACTCACCCCCAGCCTCAGGGGAGGGTTCGCTCTGCTTTCTAACTCGGATGAGTGAATCCGTGGATCAATGAATGAATCAATGGAAAAGCCGATGAAGCAATCAATGGACAATTAATCAACCAATAGAGCATTCGATGAAACAGTGGTTCAATGAATCAATCGAGCACAAATCAATGAATCGGTGAATCAATTGAGAACCAATCAATCAATCAATTGAGAGCAAATTGAGAAGAAATCAATGAATCAACTGAGAACAAATCAATGAATCAATTGAGAACTAATCAATGAATCAATCAATGAATTGAGAACAAATCAATCAATGAATTGAGAACAAATCAATGAATCAATTGAGAACTAATCAATGAATCAATCAATGAATTGAGAACAAATCAATGAATCAATGAATTGAGAACAAATCAATGAATCAGAGAACAAATCAATGAATCGAGAACAAATCAATCAATTGAGAACAAATCAATTGAGAACAAATCAATTGAGAACAAATCAATCAATTGAGAACAAATCAATTGAGAACAAATCAATTGAGAACAAATCAATGAATAAATCAATCAATTGAGAACAAATCAATCAATGAATCAATCAATTGAGAACAAATCAATCAATTGAGAACAAATCAATCAATCAATAAATTCCAAGCAATTGAATGAATCAATCGAGAACAAATCAATCAATGAATCAATCGAGAACAAATCAATGAATTGAGAACAAATCAATCAATGAATTGAGAACAAATCAATGAATCAGTCAACAAAATCAAGAATTAATCAATGATTGATTTGTTCTCAATCAATTGAGAACAAATCAATGAATTGAGAACAAATCAATCAATGAATTGAGAACAAATCAATGAATCAGTCAACAAAATCAAGAATTAATCAATCAATGATTGATTTGTTCGATTGATTCATTGATTTGTTCTCAATTGATTGATTCATTGATTGATTTGTTCTCAGTCAAACAGGGGGACTAATCCTTTTGATTTTGATGCCTCTCTTAATTCTATGACAACCTCAAAATAAACAACTGTGTGGTCCCGCTGGAAAGACGCACCTTCACGTTTCATGCTTGGAAGTTTGTTTCCCAAGTTAGGAAACTTTAAAATGTGTGGACTTCCACTCCCAGGATTCCCCGGCTAGCATTCTGGAAATCTTTTGTAATGCCACTGGATAGAGATTTGGGATTCCAGGGTAAAAGTCTTTCTGTCCCTGGGGGTTGCACCCCACGCAAATGGGCCAAAAGGACGTCACTCTATTTACAGAATACAGAATAACAGAAGTGGAAGGGACCTCGGAGGTCATCTAGTCCGACCCCCTGCTCAAGCAGGAGACCCTACCTACACCATTCCAGACAAGTGACTATCCAGTTTCTTCTTGAAAGCCTCCAGCGATGGAGCACCCACAGCTTCTGGAGGCAAGCCCTTCCACTGATTAACAGAGTAGCAGAATTGGGAGGGACCTCGGAGGTCATCTAGTCCAACCCCCTGCCCAAGCAGGAGACCCTACCTACACCGTTCCAGACCAATTCATTAAAGGCTCACCTTTCGTGGTACAGTCATAACAATGGGCTCACATTTCCGTTCGTGCAGCTTGTAAAACCTGGGGGGGGGGAGAGACAAGGGACGTTACTGGTCTGACATGGGGCTGGGGGCTTGCATAGGCGTGAGACGAAGGCCTCCCCCCCCACCCCAACCCCCATCTCTTTCCCCCCCCCCATCTCATAATCCCCTCCCTGCTTCTGAAGCGCTTGGATCCAGTTCGTTCCAAGCAGGAGTGGGACGGAAATGACTTCTTGAAAGAAAGGGGTGTTTTTTTGAACCCCTACCCACCCTAACAAATTTCTTTTAAAGTCGTACAATCTCCCCCTCCCCTCACTCACTGACACCCCCCCTCAGTTTGGGGTTTTTGTCCTCTTTGCGTCAATCTTGCCCCATGGTTCCCAACCCGGATCACTTTAAGACCTGTGTGGACTTCAAACGACTTCACGTCACGACCGCTTTACTTAGCGGCGTGGAAGCGGCGGTGTCAATTGTGGCCGTAAGCCAAGGACTTGTGCATCGTCACAAGATCGTCCAGGAGGCAGCAGGACTTCCTTGTTTTTTCCTTTGAAGACGTTTCGCTTCTCATCCCAGAAGCTTCTTCAGCTCTGACCGGATGGTGGGAGAATGGAAGGATTTATACTCCTTGCAGACAGCTGGTCATTTGCATCCTTTGAGAGAGTCGTTGATGCCACTTGGAAGATTGTCTGTGTCCTTAAGTTCATCTGAGTGGTGCAAATGGGTGTGGGGCCTTCTTGGCTCCAGGATGTATTCCGCCCTGTGTCCCTCCTGTAGCCAAGAAGGCTCCACACCCATTTGCACCACTGAAGTGGCCTTAAGGACACAGATAAGCCTCCAAGTGGCCTCAATGACTCTCTAGAAGGATGCAAATGACCAGCTGTCTGCAAGGAGTATAAATCCTTCCATTTCCCTTGAAGACGTTTCCCTTCTCATCCAAGAAGCATCTTCGGCTCTGATTGGATGGTATGGAATGGAAGGATTTATACTCCTTGCAGACAGTTAGTCATTTGCCTTCTTTTAGAGAGTCGTTGAGGCCACCTGGAGGTTTTACCTGTGTCCTCGGGGGTCACCTGAGTGGTGCAAATGGGTGTGGAGTTCCTTTCAGCAGTTCCAAGAAGGCTCCACACCCATTTGCACCACTCAGGTGACCTTGAGGACACAGACAAACCTCCAGGTGGCCTCAACGACTCTCTAGAAGGATGCAAATGACCAGCTGACTGCAAGGAGTATCAATCCTTCCATTTCCCTTGAAGACGTTTCACTTCTCATTCCAGAAGTTTCTTCACCTCTGACTGGGATGGTGGGGAATGGAAGGATTTATACTCCTTGCAGAAAGCTGGTCATTTGCCTCCATTTAGAGAGTCATTGAGGCCACTTGGAGGGTTGTCTGTGTCCTCAGGATCACCTGAGGGGTGCAAATGGGGGGGAATATCCTTTCAGCAGTTCCAAGAAGGCTCCACACCCATTTGCACCACTCAGGTGACCTTAAGGACACAGGCAAACCTCCAAGTGGCCTCAACGACCCTCTAAAAGGATGCAAATGACCGGCTGTCTGCAAGGAGGATAAATCCTTCCATTCTCCCACCATCCAGTCAGAGCCGAAGAAGCTTCCGGGATGAGAAGCGAAACCTCTTCCAAGGAAAAATAAGGAAGTCCAGTTGCCTCTTGACAAAAGCCCCTTTGGGACGGCCCTGACCTGGAGGGTGGAGAATCCCCCGTGGACATTGTCACAAGAGCGCTGCCCCGAGGACCGCCCCCCCTTGCCCCCCCGCTTGGATTTCGGACCCTCTGCCCCCCCGGAGCCTCACCTGGCGATTTCGCACTTGCTGACGTCCAGCCCCCGTTTGGGCATGAAGCCCATCCCCCGCTGGGGCTCCTTGCTGCTGTAGGTGCTCAGGTAGTGGACGTAAGGCGCCTCGTCCGTGATCTCGAAGTAGCGGATGCTGCTGTCCCCCTGCGGGGAAGGAGGCCGGGGTCTCAGTTCTGGGGGGCCCCCCACCCCTCCCGGCTCTCTGCCCCCAGAGGGAGGGGGGAATGGTCCTCCCAAGAGAGTGTTGGCTTTTTTAAAAAAAATCAGCCATTTTGCGAATATCTTCCTCCCTTCCTCCCTCTCTCCTTCCTTCCTTCTATCCTCCCTCCCTCCGTTTCTCCCTCCCTCCTTCCCTCTCTCCTTCCTTCCTTCTATCCTCCCTCCCTCCTTCCTTCCTTCTATCCTCCCTTTCTCCCTCCCTCCTTCCCTCTCTCCTTCCTTCCTTCTATCCTCCCTCCCTCCTTCCTTCCTTCTATCCTCCCTTTCTCCCTCCCTTTCTCCCTCCCTCCTTCCCTCTCTCCTTCCTTCTATCCTCCCTCCCTCCCTTTCTCCCTCTCCTCCCTTTCTTCTATCCTTTTTCCCTCCCTTTCTCCCTGATTCCTTTCCTCTCCTTTCTTCTCTCCTCCCTTTTCCGCTCTCTCCTTCCTTCTATCCTCCCTCCCTCCCATCCAC